CCCCCTCCCAGCTTCCTGTGCACCTCCAGCCTTCTCAGTCAGTAGAGCATGGGAAGCTGAAAAGTCCTTGGCTAGTGTAAACATTACCTAGGTAATGTTTAATTAACTCTATCCCTGCCGAAACCAGGACACTGACACAGGGGACAAAAGTTTCTTGGTGTCACTCCAAATTTCCGAGATTTACTCAAGAATCAATACAATCTTCTCTTTCTCCCTCTCTCTCTTCACCCTGCTCACCCGCTCTTGAGACCCATTCTGCCACCGGATCCAGAAGCCCACACCTGGAATGACTCGATCACGCTACCAGAAAGACCCAGGAGACAGCAATAGCCAAAAAGACATATTCTTATCTCCTACAGTAGGTAGCACTCAAAAAGTTGGTTTCTGCAAAAAAGTCATCCTAACTTTTCCTCTTCCTTTATCCTTGGAAGGGTAGCTATGGTCCATACAGGTTTCTGTTTTAAATCAGCAATACATTGAAAACTGTATACTTCATGGTGAAAAAAAGAAAACTCGTTTAGAATCAGTTATAGCAGTTATGACTTAAACACCGGTATATCACAACCTTAAGAACCAGCAGGGATGAATTCTGTAGCTCTACTGACAATTTCTAAACCACTTTAAAGAACTTATGATGAGAAAATAAGCAAAAAATAAAGATATTTAGAATAAATTAAAAAAAAAAAAATCACTGCATACAAACTGGTTTGGATCATGTGCTTGAACATCATGAAACAATCGCAACTTTCAAAGAAATCCAGAGCATCTACTTGCTGAAAGTGAGATGCCTTTAAAAATACAACCAATAGAGCATGAACATGTGGAGACCATTACTTCACTTAAATCACAGCAGTTTAGGCCTCTGAACTGAACTGAGGCACCATCTTAAGATGGTATGCATGCTACACTGAAAGAGTATAAAAATAGTAAGACTAGAAAAGCCATTGTTTCCAACCCTAAAGACTGTGAAAAAAATACAGTCATGAGTAAGAGAGAACTTCTTGATTCTCTTCTGGGTTTCTTAAGCTATTTGTGTGGAAAAGGTTGAATAGTTGGAAGGAGACAAAAAACCCATTGCTGAACGCTGCTGCCACTCTCTGGTACCATAATGGCTTTCACTTTGGATTTGTTAAAGCAACGAGGTCCAGTCAAACTAAAACCAGTATCTCCTGCTGTCAAGTAAGAAAGAAAATATCAATTTTTCTTGCGGTAACAGTCACTTGTCCTCTACAGTAAAAGTTAGAAGGTGAGAACTGCTTGCCCATCATTGAAAAATAACAAAGGAGAGAAACGTATTTCCTTATGGTTTATTTAAGAGTATCTTCAATGACAATAAACAGGACACAAGAAGGGTTAGCATTTGATAGATTTTTCTGAATTCTTCAATACCATTAGGAAAGTAGTAGGAACTCAAGTGCAAAAGCTCTTCTCAAATAAATGTAAACACAGAACTTAACTCAAACATACAAGAAATCCTCCCTCCCTCTCAGAAAGTCTACACAGACATACCCAAAACTTTTAGTTCACTCCTCTTTCTTCCCTTCAAAGAAAAACAACAGGCTGTACCACCTACTCAAGGACTCCATCTTCAAAAAGGAAAAGAAAAAAAAGCTATTTCACAGGGGATCATGATCCCAGAAAGAGCAGCTAAGAAAACTCAAGTGAGCAAGAAAATCTGTACTACCATATGGAACACGGCACGAGAGGAGGACAGGAGCACACGCACACTTGTCCTACTCAAGTACCACGGAGGACAGAGGAATTACAGCCAAAATATATCCTACAACACCCTAAAAGAAGACAATGTACCCAAGTGATGTATTTTACTTTACACAGTTTTAACACTCCTTTTCACTTTCAGATGGCAGTGGCAGAAGACCATAACAGATACCACATGGAAAGGAGGAGAAGAGATCCTCTTTCTTTTGTTATGCCGCAGACGTATCAGCGTGGGTGCCTCACACCCTCTTCTGCACTCCCAAATACCAAGAGCTGCACATTTTACAGGGGATGCAGGTGCACCTCTCCTCTTGCACAAAGAACACGCAGAGATGAGGACCCCCCTCCCCATTCCACTGACAGCGTAGCTTCTTCCAATGCATAAAATTTATTTGTAGCGTTTCAAGTTCCATGCTTCATGGTAGCTACAGAAACAGGAATGCTTTCTAATGTTACTACATTAATATTCTACTCCCAAACATTCTTAGTTGTGCCTTAAACCACATTTTCACAAGAAAAAGATATTTTTCTTAATTTGTACTGTATGCAAAGCACTTTAATATCATGCAAAAAGGGCCTGGAAAGTAAGAAGAGTAGTACAGCGGTTTGAAAATAAGCCTGGAATTAAGAAATCTGGGTTACAGCCTCTGCTCCGCCGCAGATCTCTGACATTGCGCTTACAGCTCCCCCACATTGCAGACTGCATCTTGACACTAGAGCATGAGCTACACACAGCTCGTAGCTACTACAGACGCCTGATGTAAATATCTGCATTTCAGTGAAATGGGCTGAGCAGGCAGATCTGTGTCCTTGTGGCCCAGTTTCTCTTTCTCCCCTGGGGAACACACAGCACTGGTTCCTCAAACAAGCAAACTGCGATTACATGCACTAAGTACTACTGAAACACTCAACGCTGTTAGCAGAGGTCATGTAAACACTTCAGACAAAGCAATGTATGAAGATGTGCTAGAAAACAAAGCTAAGCATACAGTTAATGCAACAGTATTAAACATACAGTACTTGTGAGATGCAGTGAAGTTTGGGTTCATGCTATAATAGATGAATAGAAAGCATGTGCAAGAACGTGTTTGGCAGTAAATCTTCCTCCATTAAGAGCTCTTGCAGATGAATACGCTTTCTTTGTGAAGAATTGCTTATTTTTTCTAGAAGAACGTTCTTCAGCACAGTTACATCAGACACAAACGTATATCCTTTTTAGGACTTGACATATTGTTTGAGTTTGAAGCTGAAGGATATTGTTTGTCTGGGTAGTTAATGAAAACATTGATTCTCTCTAACCCGTGTTATGGATTGCAGGAGAATTGTGGATTGCTACCGACAATGTAGAAGCGGAACCAAATTGGCCTATATCACAGACTAGAGAAGTTTTTCGTTTTAATTAAACAAAATTCAATTTCAACATTCTTGATTTGCCAAAGCTGTTCAAGCTTTGGCTTGAATCCATCTGCAATGCCAGTAGTTTGTCACAAAAGCTAAAGATCTTTCTCCAAGGCTACGACTGTGTCACTGTAGTGTCAGAGCATGTCAGAAGCCTTTTCTACTGCTTCAGCAAGCTCCTGCCCGACTTAGGCTTCCTAAAAATATGGGTGTGACTGGAAGTTGTTAAGTACATTCAAACCATGCTGCCCCATTGTTTTTTGCCCTTTTAATTTAGTTTAACTTGCACTCTATAGGAAAACTATTTTTTGCTAAAAACACTAGAAATTTGCACAGCCAAAACATACATGTTTATGAAGCCTGAGAGAGAGGTCACAAGTGGACTTGTGTCTTAGAAACCACAAAACATATTGAAAGAAGGACAAAGCTAGTATAGCTGGAAATCAGAAGCCTTTGTGAGATACTACAAGCTTATTCCTCCTGAAATGATATGACAATGTCTAACTAAAAGTATCCATTTTAGTTGTCATTTTGCTATTTGTCTGCTTAGATATGTAATACACATTTGCTGCCACCTTCAGCAGAATCAAGATGCTTTAGGGGGCGAAAAAACAGCCCATCTGGCTGAGCATTACACACCTTCTCACAGTCTAAACTCCAAAGATCTCATCTTTTCAACACAGCCAGTAGTAGCATGAAAACATTGCCAACCCATATTAAAAAGAAGAGTAACAGGAATACAGAGGTCTCAAAGCTCCACCATCCAACCGTCTGCTTAGATATGTAATACACATTTGCTGCCACCTTCAGCAGAATCAAGATGCTTTAGGGGGCGAAAAAACAGCCCATCTGGCTGAGCATTACACACCTTCTCACAGTCTAAACTCCAAAGATCTCATCTTTTCAACACAGCCAGTAGTAGCATGAAAACATTGCCAACCCATATTAAAAAGAAGAGTAACAGGAATACAGAGGTCTCAAAGCTCCAGTCCATCCAACCTGACTTCAGGAACCCTCAGCAGCACACACTGGGAATGTAGTTGCCAATTAAGTCTTTTTCTACACTTACAGTTCTCTGAAAAATGAGATTAATAACGCAGAGGTAGCCCAGAATCCAACAAGATGAGAGCAAGACAAAGGAATCACTCTGCTGCTGTATAAAACCTTACTATGCCCATACTTGGAGTGATGTGTGCAGTTCTGGTCTCCTCCACCTTCTGTTGCCCTTGGAAGGGCAACTAAAACAACGGAGGGGATGAAGCAGCTGTTCTCTGCAGAGACGCTAAGGCCAAGACTCTTCAGTTTGGAAAAGGCTGAAAGGAGATATGACTGAGGTCTGCAGAAGTCAGAAACGAGATGAATAACATAAATGCAAAACAGTTTTTCACCAAATCATGCACTACTAGAACTAGTGGCACTTGTCGAAACTAACAGGACATCAGTTTAAAAAGGGATAAAGCACACTTACACTTTAGGTAGTGAACTCCTGAACCTTGCTGCAGGATTTGAGGCTCACAGCATCAGCAGGTTCAAAAAAAGGACTTAAATGTATTCGCAGACAACAGGTCAAAACAAATACTGAAAGAAACTAGCTGGAACGTATTCTCCAACATCTCTAACTCAACAACTGCAGACACTAGGGAAATGTAGAGGCACTGGACACGAACAAGTGGCCAGGCCTGCATCATCTCTCTAACATTTGATATTGTCACTGTTGGAGACAAACTACCAGGCAGGAGGAACCATTAATCTGCGTCAACAGAGCATTTCTTTGGTCTTAGCCTCTGGAAGACTCCAGTAATTTAGACCACCTAAAGCTGAGTAATGTTTTGGAGGTGCTGGAGGTGATGTTACCTGACTCCTGCGCACGTACACACAAACATACACACAGAGTAAGTGCCAACATGGGGCCTTCCCTTCACCTTACCAGGATATTTCAGCATCCAAACCTACAGGAAGACAAGACAACCATGATCCATTCTTGCATAGTTCCAGGTGAAACCCCTGTGCTGTCAGGCAGCAGGAGGGGGGACAAGGGAAGAGTTACGGACTTTGGCGAAACAGTGCTTTGTACATCCCAGGGATGCGCTCACCAAGGACAAGACCGTATTAACACACCGTTACGTATTTTTCCAGCCTGTGACCCTAACCTGAAAGAATTGAACTCAATGGAAGTTTCAGGC